CTGAGGAGCCCAGCCCACTCAGAAGGGGCAAATATCTTGTTTGCTGCTACAGCAAGTAATTGATCCCAGATGCAGTACCAGTATACGACCTGTGGTCAAGCGACCGCCGCTCCGTGTGGTCCAGTGTTGCAGAGTATATTTTAAAAAGAGATAGTACATCTCTTACCTTAGCAGGACAATTAAGGAAAATCCTGCTCCCACTTTATTACCATGGTAGAGATAGTGTATATTGTTGTTAATGCTTAAGACAGCAAGAATCAAACATTCTGCTTTGCTTCATCGAGGAAGCAGCAAGGAATATAAGTACTATGTCAGCTTTTCCTTTGTGCTGGGGCAGTGATGGCATGGGGTGCTGTGGCGTCTTCAGATTACTTTTGACTCTACTGAGAGTGACACTGACGCCAGGATAACCAACAAACAACACTGATCTGTGCATTAGTGTGAACAAAGTGTCTCATAAAACACAATAAACACTTAAGAGAAGTGTGATCAGCTTCTTTAGTGAGAAGATTGTGAACAATAAAGACAAATCTTGTGGAACATAGTGTACCAGTGTGTGTATTCCTAGACTATGGAAGACGTGGACATCCAAGGACACTTCAGCTTCCATCAAGTCACCGATATCTGTCGAAGGTGTGAAGAACACCATAGCTCACGCTACAAGAGCAAGATAGGTTAGGAATTTCTTGTAGTACGGGGGACTGTGCAGTTCTTGAGTCGCAAGGAGTTTGTAATCAACCTATAGTCGGCAGTTAGGTGCGGACTTTTGAGTCCACACAAGTAAGTTTGTCAGCCATCAGTGAATGAAATATGCTGACATAACACCCCCTAGGGGTAATTTATAATCTTACAAATTATGATCTATTCCAGCCCGTTGAGAGATGATCATGATAACAATTCAAGACCTCGTCTGCAGGGGCGGCTGTGTAGACGATTTGCTGTCTTTTATCAGCAAAGTGTTCCCTATATTTAAATTTACAAACTGTATAAGCTTAACTGGTAATCCCATTTCTCAACATGATCCAACTAAATATATATTAGAAAAGTCTGCAATAATTTAAAACTAAGCAACCACAATGAAATATATTTGTTTCATATACTCCTGCAGAGAGAGGCTGTGGGGCATGAAGACTCTGCATTTCGTTTCTTCCATCAGAATAAAGTATCACGTATGTAAAAATCAGTGACAGGGCGAGGGAGAATACATAAGGGTCATGCGTGCGTTGGAGAGGGGAGGGTAGCATTGCATGTTTCCAAACACATGCACATGAACCGTGCAGACACGTTTCGATAAGAGAGTGTTTGTTCACCTTGTGTGTATAGTATAGAGTGTATATTGGTGCACTGTTTATAGTGGGAGGCCATGTATAGAATATAGCGTAGTGTCGTGGAGTGCAGAGAGTCGCAATTCTGCCAGGCTTGCTTCCACAGGCGATCACCCCTCGTCCACAACTCCCTCACTCTACCTCTACCTCCTCCCTAACACGCCTTGCCTACCACGAGACCGTCAACCACATCTCGGCTTACTCTCTCCTCAACCACTCTGCATCCCCACCATGAACAACCCTTGTTATGAGCCTTCACTCACGAGTGCCATTTTACCCTCCAGCCCAAGCTGACCACACACAGATTGAGGTATGGCAGATAGTGCAGCTAGCCAGCCACAAAGCCAGGGAAACAGTGCAACTAACAATGAAAGAAGAGGCACATGTCAGGTGTGTGGAGAGCATCGGGCACTCAACAGAAATGGCCTTATACGTGCACGCAGTGGGTGTGCTGGATCACATATGGTCCTTGCAAAGAGCAGCCCACAGCCTCCACAGACAGATTGAAAATTCCAGTGGTAATCTCCTCAGTTGCAAAGATCTTCTAATGGCATTCAATTTCACTGCTAGCAGAACCCTATCTCACATTCCTAAAGCGGCTTGTCCATATGCGGCAGGGAAATTTACAGACCTTTTCATGCAGGTGAATGAAGGTTTCACGTACTTAGAAGCCCGAGGTACCATTAAGGCATGGCGCAACCTACTCCTATTCGGCAATGTCTGTCTTGCAGTTCCTGCTGGACGAGGGAAATTGCTAACCACATCAGTCATGAAAACAGTGTGCAACTTCCCAAGAACAGATAACTGTCTCTCCCCCATCATCGCAGGAATCGAGAAAATCTGCGCGTATGTTAGCAAAAAAAAAAAAATCGAAGACGGTAACACAGTAGGAGCAATCAGAATAATCACAGGTGACGACATTGTTGCTCCTAAAGATAACGCCACAGCCCAAGCACTATGAGACAAGCACACAACCAGGGACACCATAGTCATTAACAGTAACCCTGAGGAAGATCTCCTCACTGGAGTATACCTGGACAATTAATTTTGCCAGAATCAGAAGTCTGTAAAGTGATAATGTCATTTCCAGCAGGATCTGCAGGAGGTAACACTGGAATTCGACCACAACATATCAAAGGGATGGTAAATCCAGTACTCGGCAAAGTTGAATCAATTCTTCTCTCTGAGGTAGCAACCTTCGTAAACAACTGTCTGGCTGTGTGGATTCCAAAGGAAATTACACCTTTCTTTCTCGGAGCCTCATTTTGCGCTCTGAAGAAAAAAGACGGGAGACTCACGCACATTGCTGTCGGTAGCACTCTTCGTTGTCTCGTTGCCAAAGCAACAGTAAGAAACATTCTTCTACAAGCCGTCAGTTTACTCCAGCCAGAAAAATTGGGCTTTGTGGTCTCTCAAGGCAGTGAAACGTCAGGTCATGCAAGGACCTACCAGAATACAAGTCCGTTGTCAAACTAGACTTTTGAAATGCCTTTAATATGGTGAAAAGAAATGTGTTCTTACCAGCTGTTCGGGATCGGTTCCCCAGGTGTTTTCCCTTCATTTCAGCAAACTCTCAATTCTTTTGTTTGGTGAACATGAAATTCCCTCATCAGAGAGTGTTCAGCAGGGTCATCCATTTCTCTTCTGCTTTGGGGTAAGAGAACTAACTTCCAGCTTGCACAGTCATCTCAACATCTGGTAACTGGATGATGGCACTCTGTCTTGTACAGAAGAGTCTCTGCCACAGGACCTACAACAGGTGAAGACTCATCCTCAATCCCTCCAAGTGTGAAATCATCACAGTCAACCTAGAAATAATTAGAGCTGAGCAAACAATCCTGCCTAAGCCTCTTCTACCACTCCATCCAAGAGCACCCTCTAGGGAGCCCTGTTGGGTCATCAAGTTATCGACACAGTCCTCTAAGATAAATTGAATGACCCGAAGAGAACAGAGTAGTGAATAAGGTATCTTGATGCCCATGATGCCTTGTATGTCCTCACAAGGTATCTTACTCTGCCAAGACTTAGTCATTTCCTGATGTGCACACCCTCATTTGACAACCCAACACTTAACGAGCTCAATCTCTAAGAAGGCACTGATTGTCACTGGAAAATCAGCATTGTGATTAAGCAACTCTTCCAGTGTGACTGGGAGGAATACGGGTGGGCAAGGCAACGCAGGTAGCTTTACATGCATTTCTGTCTTTGTTTTTGTCTTCCAGTGGACTAGTCAAGGAGATTGTCCCCGAACGTGAAAGGTGCAGTAGGAGCACAAGGCCCCAGGTTCATCGAAGCAGCCATGCTGCGAGACACTCTTTCAGACTCCTCCACCTCCTCCCAAAGAGCACAAACAGTCCCGCTGGGACAAACGGATCATCGAAAAAATTGCCAACACAATGTTCACCAATGCTTCAGGAGAGGACAAAGCTCGCCTCCTAGTGGTGAAGGCACCACAATCAGGAGATTTCCTTTTAGCTGTTCCCAATTCCTCCCTGGGCACTCGACTCGACCCACAGGCCATTCGAATTGGTGTTGCTCTTCGCCTAGCCGCCCCCATACTCGCCGATCATAGATGCATTAGCGCAGGGAGTCAGCTGATCAAATCGGACTTCATGGTCTCGTGTGTCATACATCAGAAGGGAAGAATGCTAGACATGAGGAGGTCAACAGCTTCATAAAGAGAAGTCTCGCTAAAGTCCGTTGCCCAGCTGAACGGGAACCCCAAGTACAGAGGTCTGACTGAAGCTAAAAGCATCCTGATAGAGACACTATGCTACCCTGGAAGGATGGTAAGTGCATTGCCTGGGACTACACCTGTACCACCACTTTGGCAGACACCCGTTTGTTATAAACTGAAACTGAAGGGGGTGGAGCCGTCAGCTACAAGGAAGCCCAGAAGATCTGTAAATATAAAATCCTGCACCCTTGCTATAACTTCATCTTAGTAGGGTCAGAGACCCTTGGAGTATGGGGCAAGTGTGTTATAAACTTCCTCAAAGAGCTGGGTGAAAAGCTCGTCACCGAAACTAAGGATCATAGATCGGCGAGCTTCCCCTTTTCAGAGACCCAGTGTTTCGATCCAGAAGGTAAATGCCTGCAGCATTCTGGGCATGCAACTCAAAGTCGGGGAGCTGGACGAAGTATTTAAGAAATAGTCTCTAGGATGTTCTTTATGTTGTTCTATTCCCCATTGTTTTTTTGTCAATGTATTTTGTCTTTAAATAAAGTCCACATAGAATATAGTGGATGGCAGGAGAAGAAAATATTCAATCAGCTCCGGGGAGAACTTCGAGTTTTCTCTGAAGTAAGTTTAATCTTCTCTCTGAGGATGATTGTCCCCAGTCCAGTTCCAAAGTTGGTAACTTTGTTTTCAAACGAACACTTGTTCGTTAAACTATGTAAAATTTAGTCTTATTTTATATTCATATGCTTCATCTTGTCAATATCGTGTTGATAAAGCTACTTATATTATTCCAGCGTTCACATTATAGTCTCACTCCATAGCTATTGGATCATATACTGCCTCACATAGTGGCAATAACTGTATTTTGTAATGAATTCGCTAAAAAACAACATTCCAGCTTCCGCTTATCTATTAGAGCTCTCTTCTTGCTACTGTTGCTATTAATGCCCTAAATTATTTGATAGTATAGTAACAAGCGCTCTTTGCAACAGGTCAAGTGGGTACCAACAGAACCAGGTCAGAACCTAAGCTTTTACTCCGTGGGTGACGATGGGAGAGTATCTGAGTGGACTGTACGCCCCTCTGCACTTGACGTCACAGACTTGCTGGACTTCAAGACTCATGCTATTACAACGTCATTTAAGGGTGAGAATTCTCTAGAAACAATGAGCAGTTAGAGGACTACAAATATATAGATTGTCTATGCAGTCATTCACCAAGTAAACTGAATAATTTCCCATGGCCATATAATTATTCCTAAGTAAATTACATAGTGAATATAGCATATATGCGACAGAACGTTTATCTGTTTGCGTTGATACTGCGTTTAGCCAGTATCTGCAGAAAAAAAGCTTTGAAAGTACTACCACTTTTCACAAACTCAGCCAACTCCAGAGTGAAACATAAGTTGCCCAGGATGTGGTACTATCTAGGTAGCACACAAACGGGCGTTTCACGCACACACACACACACACACACACACACACACACACACATACACACACACACAGTAGGGACACCGAGCGCGTGAGTCACGCCTTCCGTGCTCCGCGAATATAAGTGTTTTTGAGGGCTACCAAGTGTTCTGCAGGGGCTGCAAAGTGTGTTAGGGTAGTGAACAATCCTAGAAGCGATTTACAATCTGCCTGAGCCACATAAGTGTGGGGAGAGCCACAATTTTGTAAGTGATCCAGAAAGTAAACCATGGTGACACAGTCAGAGCGGGCAGGCTAGTGTGGGTGGTAAGGCGACATTGTCACGTGTCACCCAAGAAAACTAATAAAGTGAAACAATCGTGTGTCCAGTGAGAGAAATACAGTGAATAGGGTACATTATTAACGAGAAGAAATTGAGGTGGATCTACGCCAGGACGTCACATCGAACTGGACAATCTACAGGCTGCTACAGCTGCATTGCAAGTACTGTATTCACCTATGAGTGGTTGTGTGGGTGTTCCAGGGTTCCAATTAACTGCCAAGCTGATTGTGAATGGTCTCTCATAGCACAATAAAGAATAGGCACTCAAGTATTCAATAAGGAATAGCAATTGGTAATTCAATGAACAAGGAGAGTAACTTACTATCAGCTAGGTGGCAGGACAAGCTTTTAAGGGCAACATTGTAAGTAGGTGCAGGTCAAGTCCCAGGAGGGTGGTGGTCAGGTCACAAGAAGTTGTGGTCAGTCAAGGACCACTGAGACTCCACATTACACCGCACGAGTCACCTACCTCACACACACACACACACACACACTTACACACACACACACACACTCACACACACACACACACACACACACACTCACACACACTCACACACACACATATCCAGACTCCAGGAGCTCGGACTCGAGCCCTGCAACCTCAACTAGGTGAGTACACACACACACACACACACACACACACACACACACACACACACACACACACACACACACACACACACACACATATTTAAGAAAGGAAACAGAAACGAGGCACTAAACTACAGACCTGTGTCTCTGACATGTATCGTGTGCAAAGTCATGGAGAAGATTATCAGGAGGAGAGTGGTCGAACACCTGGAAAGGAACAAGATTATAAATGAAAACCAGCTTGGGTTCATGGAAGGCAAATCTTGTATCACAAACCTCCTGGAGTTTTATGACAAGGTAACAGAAGTAAGACATGAGAGAGAGGGTTGGGTAGATTGCGTTTTCCTAGACTGCAGGAAGGCCTTTGACACAGTTCCCCACATGAGATTAGTGCAGAAGCTGGAGGATCAGGCACACGTAAAATTAAGGGCACTGCAATGGATAAGGGAATACCTGACAGGGAGGCAGCAACGAGTCATGGTACGTGAAGAGGTATCACAGTGGGCGCCTGTTACGAGCGGGGTCCCACAGGGGTCAGTTCTAGGACCTGTGCTATTTTTGATATATGTGAACGACATGATGGAAGGAATAGACTCTGAAGTGTCCCTGTTCACAGATGACGTGAAGTTGATGAGAAGAATTAAATCGGACGAGGATGAGGCAGGACTGCAAAGAGACCTGGAGAGGCTGGACATGTGGTCCAGTAACTGGCTTCTCGAATTCAATCCAGCCAAATGCAAAGTCATGAAGATTGGGGAGGGGCAAAGAAGACCGCAGACAGAGTATAGGCTAGGTGGACAAAGACTACAGACCTCACTCAGGGAGAAAAACTTTGGGGTGACCATAACACCGAGCACATCACCGGAGGCACACATCAACCAAATAACCGCTGCAGCATACGGGCGCCTGGCAAACCTGAGAATAGCGTTCCGATACCTTAATAAGGAATCGTTCAAGACACTGTACACTGTGTATGTTAGGCCCATACTGGAGTATGCAGCACCAGTCTGGAACCCACACCTGGGCAAGCACGTCAAGAAGTTAGAGAAAGTACAAAGGTTTGCAACAAGGCTAGTCCCAGAGCTCAAGGGAATGTCGTACGAGGAAAGGTTAAGGGAAATCGGACTGACGACACTGGAGGACAGAAGGGCCAGGGGAGACATGATAACGACATACAAGATACTGCGGGGAATAGAAAAGGTGGACAGAGATAGGATGTTCCAGAGAGGGGACACAGGGACAAGGGGTCACAACTGGAAGCTGAAGACTCAGACGAGTCACAGGGACGTTAGGAAGTATTTCTTCAGTCATAGAGTTGTCAGCAAGTGGAATAGCCTAGCAAGTGAAGTAGTGGAGGCAGGAACCATACATAGTTTTAAGAAGAGGTATGACAAAGCTCAGGAAGCAGAGAGAGAGAGGATCTAGTAGCGATCAGTGAAGAGGCGGGGCCAGGAGCTGAGTCTCGACCCCTGCAACCACAATTAGGTGAGTACAATTAGGTGAGTACACACACACACACATACACACACACACTCACACACACACACACACACACACACTCACACACATTCACACACACACATATCCAGACTCACACATACACTCCCCCCCTCCCCACCGACATCTCATTCCTTCCCCTGATCCCTCCCCTCCCTCTTTCACCCTCCTCCTCATCACCTCTCCCTCCTTCCCCCTCTCCCTCTTCCACTCACCCACTTGCTTCTCCCTCCTTCCCACTCCCCATATTCCCCCCTAAATCCCCCTCCCCACTCCTCTCCCACATAGCCACAGCTCCTCCTCTATCTCCCTTCCCCCTACACTCTGACATACACACTACTAACCTAACACACAAAATTACATAGATTTCCCAATCTTAGGCAATCAGGATAAAACAAAAATAGGTTGCCAGAGAGCAACAAGAAAAACCAAGGGACAGGAGGAGGAAGCTGCAAAGGAAGATTGGGCAGCAGAGCTCATAAGAACATGAATGGGAAAAGAAACTAGAAGAACTTAGCATGAGAATGGAAGAGAGGATAGATATGGAAAGCAGGAAGTGGGAGGTGCAAGTCAAAGCAGCAGAGGCTAGGATACAGAGTTTAGAAGAGGAACTGAAAAATCTGATACAGCCTAAAGAACTAAAGAACATTTTGGGATTGACAACAGAGACTGCTACCTCAGTCACAAATAAGTGGACTGTAGGGAAAGATGGAGCAAAACTGCAAGTAGAAGCTCTATCAGAGGAGACTGTAGTAAATGAAAGAGCTAAGCTTTATGTGGAGTCCCTAACAGACTACAGCAGAGCCCAGGGAAAGCCGAGAAGGGAAAATGACAAGTTCATTAGCAAGTGCAACTGAAGAAAGGAAAGCTGCAGTGGAGGAAATCAAATTGAATGAGGGGATACACAGGGATATGCAGTGGGAGAATGAAAGGCTGAGGTCAGTCTTTGTGTATGGGCTCCAGGAAGTTGAAGGGGAAACATATGAAGCAAGAAAACAAGGGGAAAAAAAAGCAATTGAAAGTGTCATAAAAGCAATAGGAGAAGACAACATGACCCAGCTGGAAAATTTTCGGAGAATAGTGGGGTTTGTAAAAAAAAGAACCCGGCCAGTGAAAGTGACCTTCAAGGCAGAATCGACTCGGAACAGGATCCTGCAGGAGAAAGCATGATTAAGGGACATGCCGGCATACAGGAAGGTGTATCTCGACCGCCACAGAACACAAGAACAAAGGCAGAAACTGAGAGAGATGGTACAAAGCGAAAGGAGGAAAGAGAGGGGATGGAGAAGACAGACAGGAGATCCCAGACCCAGGAAGAAGATCAAATACAGCCTCACTCACAACTTCCTATAGAAGCCTCCCAACCAGGTCAACCCCAGTGCAACCAAACACTCTAAACCAAAACACCCATGCCACATCCAATGCCCCCACCCACTGCATCATAAACTCCACCCCTGCAGCAACCACCCATAGTTCCTTATCAGGTCTCCCACTTCCCCAACCCCAATACACCTCCCAGACCACAGTCTTAGAAAAGAAGTTGAAGGTATGGTATACAAATGCAGGTGGAATAACAAATAAGTATGAGGAGTGGCATGAAAAAATCAAGGAGGCATCCCCAGACATAACAGCACTCACGGAAACAAAACTCACCAGAATAATAACAGATTCAATCTTTCCATCTGGATATCAAATCCTCAGGAAAGACAGGTGGAGGAGAGGGGGAGAAGGAGTTGCACTGCTCATTAAAAACCAGTGGGGTTTTGAGAAAATGGAAGGAATGGATGGCACGGGCGAAAGGGACTACTTAGTAGGAACAATCCAGTCTGAGGGACATAAGGTGACAATTGCAGTAATGTACAACCCACCACAGAACTGCAGGAGGCCAAGAGAAGAATACGATGAGAGCAGCAGAGCAATGGTCGACACACTAGCCGAGGTGGCCAGGAGAGCACACATGGGGGAAGCAAAGTCACTAGTTATAGGTGATTTCAATCACAAGGAGATTGACTGGGAAAACCTGGAGCCCCATGGGGGTCCCGATACATGGAGAGGAAAGATGATGGATGTGGTACTGGAAAACCTCATGCATCAACATGTTAGAGACACTACCAGAGAGAGAGAAGAGGATGAACCAGCAAGACTGGACCTTGTATTCACCTTGAGTAGTTCAGACATCGAGGATATCATGTATGAAAGGCCCCTGGGAGCTAGTGATCATGTGGTTCTGTGCTTCGACTACATAGTTGAGCTCCAAGTGGAGAGAGTAGCAGGAATAGGGTGGGAAAAACCAAACT